ACACTGTTGCTGTGAGCTGTACTCAGGTTCCTCTGTAATCCAGATTTATTGACCTCCTTATTCTCAGCAAGTGTGAGCAAACATGAAATAGTTTTACGTAATCACATAAAAAAGAAATATAAGCAATGTTTCAAAACATTCTATGAGATGGCAAGGTCAGCCATATGCCATTGAATAATTTCCTGACCATCTGTTCATTCTGGCTGTCCCAGTGTCCAACAGTGCAGATATGGTACAAGTAATAACAACAGTACCATTTACCGGGGTCTGAACCTGCAACTGTATGTTCTGCAAAAGTCCTGCTGAAACATGGAGTTTTGAAGATGAAAATTTTGTGGGCCTGGGTTGTGATTTTAGACTGATCATAAAATCAGTATCCGGCTTGACCTTCACTGCAACAATGTCCAAGTACAGCCTGAAATCAGATATGTAGCTACACGAAGGGAAACACAAAGAGTTAGTATGTCCTCGCATAGGAATTAGCTGTCCTGTTCATAGTCGGACTTTGCAGAAGATGGGGGTTTGAAATGTGATGGGCTGCAACACTTGGCAGCTGTTAACTGGTGCACAACAAAAATCTGATAGGAGACCTCACTTCTAAGTGTGACTTCTCAAATGACTTTCACAGGTTGCTTTTAATGTTAGGTTCATGAAGGACATCAAGAAACCAAAGACCTGTTAGTTCAGAACCCCTTTTCACAGAAGAAAGTGTCACAGATTTTATCCTATGGTGACACTATTTTTTTGTTGAAATTTCTGCTCTTTCATGGTACATCAGGTAAGAGAGACATTATTTTGATAGCTTTTTTGGTGACATCTCCAATGTATGTTCTCATACAAATCCATATTTTTATAACATTGTGAGAAGAGCCTGACTCAGCCAAAAATCTTTGTCCCTATTCAGGTTGGTTGTAGCTTCTTTGGGCTTCCTGGCAGCTGTTGCTATGTCCCTTCAGGAGAGGGAAACTCTACGTACACAAACAGCACACAGACCTTGTGCACAGCTGCCAACACTGCCTTCCTAACCAGAGACTGAGTCTCTGATGCAGTCTCAGCAGACAAAACTCTGAGCAGGGCTATTTAGTGTGTCTTGAAGGCTGTAATTTTACCAAGATCAATTTAGCGGTGTGTCTGTTCCAGGTTCATTGAGCAAATCAGGTGCTTCAGGATACCTTTGTGGCCAAAAATTACGGTAACATGCTGCAACAGCTCCTCTAGAGAATGCAGGAGCCGGCACGTGTCTGGGTCCTTGGCAAGGCACACACAGATGTATTTGTGGTCTAAATCCATACCTGAGCCTGTCGTTTGTCTAGGCCTGTGCAGGAGCATGACAAGCTGCACAGGCAAAATGGGCTCAGTGCTTCCCTGAGAGAGAAGGAAGATAGGGCCAGTTGTTTCCAGCTGAGGAGACAAGCCTCTAATTATGTCTGTTGTAGTGAAATTTGCCTTTTCTCACATTTCCATAAAGATATGCAGAGACAAAAAAAATAAGAATAAGAGAAATTGAAAACTCCTCTGTATTTCAGTATAACTAATACTTAAAGTAAGGTAATGAATAGAAAAAAGCTGTGTTTTGAAAGAATAAGAAAAGTCACTTGGGTAATTGAATTGTTAATGAGTACCAGTCGAAATGAATACATTTCACCAGAAAAGGAGAAGTACAAATATTTGCTGTCTTTTGACTGATATGTCCTAATCTTGTACACTCCTGTCCCATCCCCCTCTGTTGCCGAACAGATCACTTCCACAATGGGATAATGTGTACAGTGGGCTAATGTGTTTAATCTAATTTAACTGTGACTAAATGGCATTTTTTCTCTCTGGTAACTCTCATTCTCCTTTTGTGATGAGAGAGATATCAGAATTAAGCTGGACTCCATTGAACTGCTCTTACTGCATTTACATCTAATGAAGACTGAGTGGAGAATTAGTATTCTAGTTGCTTTCTCATTTTCATTTATTTGTACATGGATAAGAAAAAATGTACGTGACATGTACCCCCTTAAGTGCTTAAATCTTACTAGGAAAAAAAAAAAATTGGGGGTTAAAAAGGATTAACACAAGTTTCTGCTATTGTCTTAACTACACGTCAGTGTTTGCTACCTTACAACAAAGTAAGAAACAGATGGCCAGCTAGGGTTTTATAGGATACCTTATGGGGAGGTTTTTTTAGCCTGGAGCAATGCCAATCTGTTATTAGGTCAATCAGATTGGGGATATTGCTAGGTGTTTGTGTAGGTGTGGACGGGAAGTGCAAAGCCAGATATTCTTGGCAGAGTTAATTGAGTGCAGCTGTATACATTGCTTCTCAAAAAGCTGGCTGAAAACAGAACTTGTCCGATGTATACATAGAACTTATTTGTCCCAGATTAGGCTGGGTGGGGAAAAAAGTCCATTTCTGAACTCTTGATGACTTCTTTGTCTTTTCTTGAAAGAATGAAAGTATTTTAATCAGGTTGCCCTAACGGAGGAAAAGACAAAAACTCTTAGGACCTATGGGGAAGCAGGCAATCTTTGAAGAAAATGTTGGTGAAGACATTTTTTACTTCCTTCCATTATATCAGCTCCATCATGATCAGCTAACATGTTTTTAAGCAAGATTTCTATAGTCCACATTAGAACTAAAATGTCTACTGCTGTACTGGGGAGAGCTGTACCTGAATCCATTTTTCCTGCAGTAGGCAGTGGCTAAGTTACTGGTGGTCTGTACAAGAGCAGTTATGTGGCTAAAATTCCCAGCATAGGAAAGAGTTATGAAAGCAAAACTATTGCTTGCGCAACAGATACCACCTGGGTATAAACATATGTCGTTTTTCATACACCTACCTCACTGACTGTGTACAAGGCTGGCAAACATGGAGCTCTTTTGTGTGTAGAAGTGTATGTGAGATATGGTACTATATAAGGTTACCTTGATCTTCCTGTGTTAGTGTCCTGGTTTCGGCTGGGATAGAGTTAATTTTCTTCATAGTAGCTAGTATGAGGCTATGTTTTCTATTTGTGCTGACAACAGTGTTGATAATACAGGGATGTTTTAGTTATTGCTGAGCAGTGCCTACATGGGGTCAAGGCCTTTTCTGCTTCTCACCCCACCCCACCAGCGAGCAGGCTGGGGGTGCACAAGAAGCTGTGAGGGGACACAGCTGGGACAGCTGACCCCAACTGACCAAGGGGCTATTCCATACCATATGACATCATGCTCAACATATAAATCTTGGGGAAGAAGCAGGAAGGGGGGAACAATTGGAGAGATGGCATTTGCCTTCCCAAGTAACCGTTGCATGTGATGGAGCCCTGCTTTCCTGGAGATGGCTGAACACCTGCCTGCCGATGGGAAGCAGTGAATGAATCCCTTGTTTTGCTTTGCTTGTGTGTGCAGCTTTTGCTTTACGTATTAAACTGTTTTTATCCCATGAGTTTTCTCACTTTTCTGATTCTCTCCCCCATCCCAGTGGGGATGTGTGGTGCTTAGTTGCTGGCTGGGGTTAAACCACAACAGTTAGGATAGGCAAAGACCTCTTATTATTCTTTTGAGTCCCCTCTGGAAAAAACAAACTAAACCAAACCTGCTCTTGGGAGCAAAGAAATCAGTCACTGAATATGTTGAGAATAATGAAACAAGGACCCAAGCATGTTATGTGTGCTCTAGATAAATATTAATATTATGAATCCTACTGCAGTGATCTATGTATCATAAGCAGCTTCCTAAGATGGATAGAAAGATCAGTTTTTCATTCAATTGGTGCTAGTTTTGAAGACATCAGGCTTAATAAACAAATGACAATAAACCATCATTGAACGTATATTTTAGTATTTAGCTTCAATGATGTGCTAGCTCTGTTGTGATGGGTATAGGTATAATAAATTTGCTCTGCAATAGCCCCAGACTTTTCCCTAGAGGAAAAAAAATATGAAAAGTGGAAATGAGATTGAATTTTGTGATTCTTCCTGCCCCATTTTGAGTTTCAAATGACACTCCTTAAAACAGAAAGTAAACAAATTGATCAGTTAGTTACTTATCAGAACTGAAAAGGCTCTGAGTGTGCACTGAAAATAAAGACATCTTTATTTTAAGGTGTTAATACTTCTCAAGTGAATTTTCCAGCTCTGCTAAAATAAAAAAGTATAACTGAGTAAGCACTCCAAGATAAAAATTTTAAAAGCAAGAAAAATCAATAATGCTATTTTTGGTTTTGAAAGGAAGATTTGATATCCCAAATTTTCTCTATTAAATATTAAATATCCCAAAATTTCTCTACTCTCTATTACCTGGTTAAACAAGGTGTTTTCTACATAGTTTACATATTGGAAATGCAGTTTCAAAATTCTGACAAGTATTAGTACCATATGCTTACCATTTGTAAGAAATGGAACATGCTAAGTGTTTGAATTAGTTTTGAAATAAAAAAATATTTATGCATGACAGTAGTAACTAGAAAGGTGAAATACACATCTAAAACCCCAATAAATATTTAAGATGCAAACTTTTAAAACCATGATTCAGGAGAAAATTTTCTCTTGAAAAAAACCCAAAAACCCAAAACCCAAAACCAAACAAAACCCCACCCCCACAAACAATTTTACACATAACGCTATGAAAACAGTTTTAAGTTTACCTTTTCAGTAGCTAAAATAGGCAAACAATTAACAATAAGTTATGAAAATTGATAACAAGTATATGAAGAAGTTTTTTTCTTCCACTGAAGATCTTTCAATACTAAACAATATGTCAATTATTGGATGTAATAAGGCCATTTAAAGATGCAGAGAAGTGTGTTTTTTTGCATCTTTCTTTCATTTTCCAGGAAAGTTGCCATCCCTCTAGTGCCGTAGCCTTTCCATTCGTGCAGCTGTGGGGAAGGTGGACATGGAGGTGCCCTGCAATCCTCCCACCACAGGCAGATAATAGGTGAGATCTGGAGCTGCCAGCTACCTGAAGCTCCACATACAAACTGTTTTGCCAGTCAGGCTACCACTGTTTTGTTCCTTTATGTCTCACCTTAGAGAAGCTGCCAAAGCAGTGGGAACAGGGTTGGTGCAGTAAGGAGGTAGGCTTTATGCTGAAGGCTCAATCCTTCAGACATCGGTCCAGCCGGCATCCAGTCAGGGGGATTTTCTTTTGTGAGACCTGAACAAACAAAACCACTTCCATTTAAATAGCTTTAAATTAAGCAGAAACAAGAATGATTTGCCTGGGTGGTTTCAAGTTCTTTATTGCACTAAACTACTTCCTTTCAGCCTTCCCAGAAGCTACTTCAGCTGAACAGGCAGTGATGGAGGGTCCTTAAAGACAGTGTTCACAGTTTTGAAAGAGCAGGGAACAGCAGCACTCAGAACGTTTAAGAAATGACTGATGAGATTTTATGGTGCTTAGGAGAGAAAATATCCGAGTATTCATATGTAAATCTCAGATATTCACCAGAATGTTGCTTTTTAAGTACTGCCATATTTTTCTTTGCAAGTGCATATGGAGTAAGTAGCTGGAGGTAATGTTCCCCCTAGAGACTCAGAAATTTGTTTTAATGTGAAACAAAAATGTCAGAGTACTAAAGCTCTCAGGCTTTTTCTTCCTTTGCAAAGAAAATCCTCAAGGGAACACGAATAGAAAAATTCATTCTGAAGAGATTAACAAAATCCAATTAACCTAGTAAAACCATTAAGTAAATTAGCAAATTTGGTAATCAGAATGTTGTCCTTTTTTTGTTTGCTTAATTCTAGCATTAATAGCTTAACATGGTAAATGTTTAACAAAGAAGAGCCCTCTTTTTTTTTGTCACACACAAACATAGATAAGTCCATGCACTTAGAAGACTTTTGTTTAAATTGAAGGGCCTCTGAAAGAAGTTCACCATAGTTGCTCATGAATCAAATTCGATTAACATCACCTTGTTTGGTTATAGAAAGCCAGTGTTTTTTTATTTTAATATATTGTGTGTATATATACACTATGTACATAGATAAATATAAATATAACTGTGTATTCATATATCTGCATGTGTGCATATATATTTTTTTCACATGTATATGTGTATGCATGCACACACACACATACTCATCAGATCTCTTAAGTCTCTGGTAGGTCTGATAAATTAGAATCACTCACCATTGAAAGTAGGAAAATTGAAATCTTCTTCTCCATTTACTTTCCCACAAAGGGTAGGTTTCACACTTTGGACAAACCTACAAACTCCAGATATTATTTATTCAAACCTTTCAATCTTCACATTGAATTCAATGTGAAAAAAAAAAAAACAAAACAAAACAAACCAACCCGCTAACAAATCCCCAAACCTCTACTACTTTCTGAAGCTAACACCACAAATGGAAACTGTATAAGCAATGTCCTGCATGTGCCTCAAATCTGGATCGAAAGGAATCATTGTAGGGCAGAACAGACTACACTTGTTTTTCAAGAGTCTCTCCGCTACTGTGATGGGTCAAATGCCATTGTTCCTAATGTAGAAAAGATTTGGTAACTGGTAAAACCTAAGGTAACTAGTGACAGGCTGGTCTCTAATGGGACTGATGCTGGCTAGCAAAGCCTGTCCTCATATCCCTGAGAAACTTTCTGCCACCCCCACCCAACAAGCTTAAACCCCATCTGTCCCCCTCCAATCTGCCCCAAGCCACATCCACCCTCTTTTCTGTGGGGAGAGGTAAGTACTACTTCTGTAACAATTAAGACTTTCCATCACATTGGTGATCAGGGTCATAAGGACCTGGTTATGTTCAGGGAGAAGTATCACTAGATGCCTAAGCGCATTTAACACTTTGATGCAGCTGAAAGGGATCTCCACAAACAGTTTGCCATTGTTTTAGGCAGGTGAATTGACTCAGCGATAGTCAGAGGCAGGAATAACAAGAATAGACAGCTGGGTGCTGGTTTAAGGACTCCCATCACACAGGGCATCCTGTGTCTCTTACCACAGCCATCTCGCAGACCATGAGGAAAACAGTGAAAGACCCCATGGACACACTGGCAGAGCAGGCAGCCGTCCTTGGTCCACTCCCCATGCCTCACCATGCCACACAATCTGCAATGTTAGGAAATAACAGCAATAATTAAAAAAAAAAAAAAAGCCTAAGAAGTGGAATTACATGTCTTGAAAGTAAGCTTGTTACTATTTCTGGGAAAGAATTCAACTCCACATTTGGCTTACCCAGTAAGTTTATCATGTTCACAATATCTACCAGTAAGATACTTTGGACAGATGCAGAAAGTTCCCAGGAAACATGTTCCTCCATTTTGGTAGCAGTTCCTCTTCAGCTCATGGGCTAGAGTCAGAAATAAGAAGTTACTGCAGGAAATTTGTTGAGCAAGTAAGGCACCCACTTCAGCTGCAGATGGCCGGGCCACCAGTTTAAGCCTGATGCTTTTAAAGTTGCTTTGTTTGCCTATTGCAAAGACTCTACACAGTTACCCCGACTTGTTAGCAGATTCAAAAGGTCAAAGACTAAATTAAGCAGCATCCTCATAAGTTTTAATTACTCTTTCAATAACAGACACATTTGCCTTCAGGCTTTGGTTTTTGTTCCTGTGCTTAATCAGAGATTAAATTTTGTAGAGGCACTGGGTTGAGGACCTGACCTTTTGTCTGTTCTTTAAAAACATAGCAAGAGTTACTTTCCTTGATCCAGTTTTCTGGCTACCAAGTCCAGAAAAGACATGCAAACCCTGGTGGCTGCACAGGCAACTATGACTCTCAATCAGACTATTTCTGGGCTAGACGGGTCCGAATTCTTAATAAAAGGGATTGGTTAGGAAGTAGGCACCATGAAGAAAACTCTCTTTACTAGTACGTATTTTCAGAGATGTTTTGGAAGATGTTTTCAGATAGTGAAGAGAGACAAGTGTCATATATATCTAGTGAGCAGGCACTGCACATATAGCTGCAGTTGAAGCTGGTAACACACATCTTACATCAAGTATAAAAGTATCGGAACTTTATATTCTCCCTGGGAGCTGGCGGAAATGTTAGGAAACATAAAAGGAAATAGCTCTCTCTGAATCAGGGCAATAGCTTTCATCACGGATCCCTTCATATTCCCATGGCAAATAAAGTGCTCCAGCTTCATTAATAGCACTGTGAGCAGGCTACAGGAGGCATCTCTATTACTGCTGTTTTCTTTTTTCCTCTAGAAATTTAGAATTAACAATTTAGAATTTATAGGTGTTGATAACCGTGCTGCTGATGCATGTCCCAAGGCACTGACCAGGGGGTCTGAGATTGGTCTTCTGGGCCCTGTGTATGAAACACAGGAAGTTGTTCTTTACACGCTGGCTTCTTGAGCTTGAAACTGCCCTCACATCTCAAAATTGGGAGCATGAGGTGAAAAGTGTTTTTCTGGTCACGTACCATCCAGTGTTTAATTGGCCATACAACCTGAAGCTGTTGCATCACCTCTGAAGGATGGAGGATTTGGCACAAGCTTCTGAACTTACCTCTACATCTGCTTTGTTTTTTGAACAAAATCATCAGCCCTTTCTAGCTTTCTGCACCAATTAGCAAAAGTAATGAAACGGTGGTGAGGCACTTCCCGTTTCTCCATAGGACCAACATATTTCACGTACTTTGATGGATATTTTAGCAGGTGTTTGTGATGTCTTCAGGAGCGCAGTAGAGTGCGTTTGTGTTCATGAAAAGGCTTGCTAACCGGGCTGCCGATGGCTGCCTGCGTACTTACCAGGCTTCTCGGGTTCAAGGACTCCCTGCTATTTGCCAAAGAAACCACGCTGTGGTGTAAAGGTCCTTTGCACGGAGTCTGCATGTTTTCATTAACATGTAGGGCTTTTCCTTGTTTGTTTTTAACTAATATAGCTATCAGTATGTCCCAAAGCCTTTTGTGAATTTTATTGTGCATTTAAAAGACGGTAACAGAATGTATCCTCTGGAAAACAGACTATTATGTGACCTTCATGCCCTTTTTCCCTCTCTAGAAACACCTTCACAGTGGACATGAAAATCAGTTATATCCTCATGTGATGAACGATTTACTATGTGTTAACCCAATGAAAGGTAAGATGTCAGAAGGGTTTCTCCTTTTCCTCTTAGAACTGAGATTATTAATTTCTGTAAAAGTGTTTAAAGATATGCTCTGATTTTCCTGGTTTGGGGAATTGTTACAGTTTTCCCCTTTGCACTCTTTAAACACACAAATTAAGAAAGGACAGTGACATTCTTGGGAACAACTAAAACACAGAAGGAAAGCTGAGACTGTAAGACAGTAGTTATTTAATGATATTTACAGGAGGGGGAGGGAGCAGTCTTTAGTATTTTCTTTGCTTGATAGAACCACTGCCCACAAAGAAAAAAAAAGAAATAAAGTTTATGTCTTACCAGTTTCAAACTGGAGCACTTGTAAAGGTAGTGACATACTTAAAAGAAACCTGCAAGACAACGATAAAGATACGTGAATAATGAATTCACAAAAAACTTATTAAATTATAGCATGAAGCCAGTGAAACATAATTATAATTTTGGAACATATAAGGGGAAGGGAAGTAAGCCATTGTCTAGGTACAACACAAGTACTATGGGAGAAATGATTCCCCCAGTTTTAAGTAACTACTAGAAAAAGAAGTGCAAAAGGCACAAAATAAAAAAAATTACTAAACAAAATTGATAGATTTATTTTTTTTTCTGTAAGCAGTAGCAAACATTTAAAAGTCTATACTTTCATTATTATTAAAAAATATTTTCTTACCTAAAAAGCTTCATATTTTTTCTCTCTGGTCTGCCTGTATTTCACTCCTTTCTTTGGACATTAAATTCCTCTGCTATAACTTTACACTGCTAGGTACACAAAAAAGAATTATTTTGACAGGGAAGTTTTGGTGAAATATAGAAATGAAAGTAAAGCCAATCCTCTGCTTATCATCCAAGAAAAAATGGTGTACTTCAGTCTCTGAGCTTTAACAGCATACTCCCTGCAGCAAGTCATTTACAGACGATCAACACCTTTCTACTCTTGCCTCCCATTTCCCTACTTGACCCCTGTTCATTAACCCAGCAATTTGCAATGGCATTGGGTGGTGGATTTATCACAGGAGCTGCTCTGAAGTGGTCTCTGGGGGCAAGAGAGCTAAAGGTAAATTGAATTTCGTATGTGAAGGCCTTTATCGTTGCTATGACTCAGGTCTGGTTAATGATATAAATATAGAGCTATATAGTCAACATACTATAATCCCTAGAATAGATCAAGAATTGATCTGAAAGTTAATATTTTAAACTTGATTCTATTTGAACAATTTCTATTTTCTATATGGCTTTTTGGTTTAGAGTCTATTTTTTATGTTACATGCAATATTTTTAAGATTGGTTTATTTTAACTTGTCAGTATTAGGGTCTCAATATTACTGTCCTGGGAGGTGAGAAGAGGAATTCTGAACCTCGTCTGTTGTGACCTGATCATCTAAATCAAAAGACATTATGTGATAGGATTTGCCTTGCCTTAACTAAACAAATGTCACTAAACCGGTGCAAGTCTGTGTGGAAACAGTCACAATAAAACCTATTACTCTCCTGGACATTTGCATGCCTCAAAGAGCATGTCTTTCATATATCATTTGCAGTAATGTCAAGTCTCCGCCTTTTTGAAATAACCGGTTGATCTCACCACAAAACTTTCTTCAAACAGCTGAGTTATGCCTGAGCCTTTCGGCTTCACTTGGTTTGCATTCTGTTTCTCGATATTGCTTTTATTTTCTGGCTTCACCTTTCCAAAGATTGCTCTGCACTCACAAACAAACCACTCACTGGATTTCTACTAATTGAAGACCAGGATTGTCATGCAACTCTGTGGTACCAGAGGTTTAGATTAACAGTAGACTGGCATTCCAGGAAGAAGACACATGGGCTTTACGTACAGGAAACACTTTCCAGGTTTATTTGCTGGACTTTTGAAATTTGATCAGGGATGGAGCCAGTGTAACAGTCCTGTCGCTTGTTTGGTTTTGCCCTTGAAGTTCAGTCAGGAAAAAAGAGTGCATATTTAAGAGGCATAATGAGCAAGGAGTAGCTTTGCTCTGTTGGACTAATCTCCCAGAGCAATTAATTGCTCCTCTAATGATTTACTCCCCAAAACTGATGCTATCTCTTCCCACCACACCTTCCACATACACACATACAAACGACTTTGAAACAATTGCCATCCTCAGTAACCTGGGACAATTTAAGGAGAATAAGACTTGCAAATTGAAGTGGTGGTCATTTCTATCAACTTTGATTTAGGTTAATGATTGTAAATAATAATTAGTAGTTGATATTTGAACATCTTGTCATTGAAAGCCCCCCAGTGATTACAGCACATCTAGGTAATTTAGATGAACATTTCCACTCATTCTAAGGCAAATGAGCAAGATTTGTGGCTGAAATCTAGGGCCTTAAGCATGGCTTAAACTTTTGCATGCCTTGAATAATCCCGCTGGGAGTGATTCAGTGCACTCTATTGCATTTGTCTTGTGTGAATTACTGTTTCACCATTTCACGTCTCAAGATGAAAATTCTGGCAGCACACATGACAGATGAATAATTTAAAAACCTAACATTTCCTTTTTGATTCCTTACAACATCTATCTATTTTAAAAATTATATTTAATTAAAATTAGGATAAATATGTAGTTGCTGTAGTGAGCGCTGAGGAGTCTAGGATTACTGCAGGAATACTAAGGGCAAAATGAGCCTGCTTAGTTACCAACCATTACTAGGAAGTTCAAAGTCCTTGCTACACTATTTGAATCAAAGCCTATTTATTTTCTCTACTATCCCGTCATTTCTTTAAAGTTTGATTTTTGCTAAGGTTTATGAGTAGGAAATTTATTTTGACTGAACATTTTCTTAGAAATCTTAATATAAAATCATCTTATTGAAGATTGTTTTGAAATACTAACTACTGTTTTAAACTTTTTTTTTTAATAAACAAAAAGTAGCAGTAAACCTCAGAGATAAACTTGTTTTTTGATGCTTTCTTGTTAAAATAAAAATAATGATGTCCTGCTTTCTTTTTTTATTTCTTTTTTTTATTTTTCTGCAAGACAAAATTGAAAGGCAGTGCTTTTGGGTAGGTGCAATAAAACTTAGCAGCTTTTTAAAACGTAATGGCTCTCGGGGTGGGAGTGTGTATGTGTGCCAGGGTGGAGGGCATCGAAATAGCAAGGCAGTTAACACAAAGGCTCTTCGAGTTTGTCATTGTTGGGTCTTATCATCATGTTGCCCTTTGCCTGACTCCGTGAAACAGAGAAGCACAGATTAAATCTCAAGAACCTTAGAACATAATAGTAAACTCATTAATTTTTATTTTTTTTAAGTTTTATCAATATAAATTACAGATTTCCTTAACTTGCTTACTTCTTACATGAGTTTTATAGTTTCTTTTCTGTCGATGTGTGTTTATGCCAAGGGTATGATCAAACCCGGTATTGATTGAAATCCCTTGGCTGCATTCTAACCATAATTTAGCATGAATAAGGTGAATTGGTAAATTATACCTCTTCCAAAGACATAATCCAGAAAGTGCTAATGTTCCCTTACCTGCATGTTGTTTCATATCTCTGTGGTTCAGTTCCCCATTTATAAAACACAGATGAAAGCATTCCCTTGCAGAAGAGCGTTATGAGCCTATATTCATTCAGAAATGTGATGAGTTACATAAAGATGTTCACAAACATATTGCTGAGAAAGTAGTGTCATAAATGGCTTCAGGATAATGGGCATGCCTATCTAATGGTTAAAACCATTTTCAAAACAGTTACTAAGATTGTGGTTTTCATCTTTTTGATACACATATTATACCAGGAGAATGCAGCTGTCTGAATCTTGTAAAGATGATGTATAACTCTCTTCTCCATAAGCTCATGGAAATTTTACCCTGGGTCACTGTTGTCAAATATGTTTCATATTCTACATTTGGCTAGAGATAATTTACTTACTCACCCGCACATTTTGCACAGCCCAGTGGCACCATTTATGTAGGCATTTCTGCATGTGTTTTTTGAAGGGAATGAAGGCTCCTAGGATGCTTGAGCTATTCAGGATTAAAGAGCAGGAGAAGAGGGAATTTTAAGAGGCTGGAGTTGTCTAAATATACGTTCTTTGTGCAAGGTAAGTCCATGGTCAAGGTAAGCAAAAGAAAACAAACGAAAAAATATTCAGATGTTAAGGTTAAAATTGACAGGCAAAATTGTATATGGAAATTATGCTAATACTTTAAATATATCCTTATGATTCTTCTTGTTGTCAAAACTTTTAGGGGAATTGGAAAAATCTCCCTTCAGCGGGGTTAATTAGGGAGAGATTCTCTGTGTGTGTACTTAGGAATCTCACTTTTTTTTCAGGTTTGGCTCATACTGGAAATGTCTGTTGATGCTGCTCAGAGATTGTGATTCTTTGAACCAACACGATTTTCTTTGTGATGACAAGAAACAAGTAATCCAGTGAAAAAAACTGGTATATTTAATCCGTACAAAGCCTTACTTTATAAAACTAAACATGGGTGCTAATATGTTTTCTCCTTGGAGTACATCTGTTTTAAATGCAGGTAAACCCCATGTGTTTTGTTACGGTGTACCACGCTATCATAGTAGATGTGTCTTGATCTATTGACATTGTCCAGTCAAACAAATATAAATTGATACTAATTGGTGTTTAGAAAAATCCATTTCCCAGTCAAGTTCAAAATGAGACTGTAATGCCTTGTTTTTCAAGAGCTGCCTATTTCAAGGACAGGTCATGCATGGTACTGAGACAAATAAAGTGAGAGTTAATTTCTTGTTAATGAGTTAAAGATGTCAAAAGGACAATAGCTTTAGGGCTCAATTATGTCTCTGCAGAAGCAGATGAGAGTGGAGAAGAGCACATCAGTTTACGTTTTTTCCTACCCAGTCATGTTTTATCGCAGAAATGTCATGAGTTCCTCTTTTTAAAGTTCTTTGGGCTCACATGTGCTGTTTCTGAAATAAATCATTTGGTATTTGGAAGTGTAGATGTAAGGACTTTTTTGAGTTGTTTTAACACAAATTATTTCTGTGATCTGTGTTACAATTTGACCCTGCAAATGTTTGTATTGATAATCTGAACATGCATAGAGCTGTGACACAGGGTTACGAGCCAAGATATGGTGTTAACTTCATCCTGAAGTTGCACCA